CCCCACAACCTCTGTCCCTATGCAATATGAGAAATATACATCTACTCAGGTGTGTTAAAAAATACATATCTACTTGGACTTGTTAAAGTAGTTCAGGCCTTACATTCTTATGATGGAATCTATCTTGTTCAATATTGTTTCTTCAACATTCACACAAAATATGAAATTACTCTATCTCCATTTGATTCTAGTATGGTCACTTTATCACTACTGTATTCTGTGCTGTGTAAATCAAAATGAACATGAGGAAAGATGCCCGTTTGCTGTGTGGATGAGCTTGTCATTTTGTAAGTGCAAAGATTTTGGAGGTACTCATTTTCTACAGAATAAGACAAGTTTATAAAGAATAAGATAAAATGATACTTTTGAATTCAGAAACATGAAGGAAGAACTATGAAATTATGTAGTTCCTCTAAGAAGTTCGTAATATTTCTTACTCCAGGTCATTTTGATATGTTTAACATGAAGAGTCTTGGGCCGTTGTAAATCCCAGCAGTATTCTGGTGATAAGATTTTAGTGGGTTTATGGAGAAAAAAATACTTGTTTAAGTGGCTTTCATCATGCCACAGCGCTTCAATGTTATTTTTCTTGTCTTCCATGATTCCTTTGGAGCACTCATTGACAATACTGAGGACCTGAATGGGAGTGCCCCCAAACACAGCTGCATGGTAGTAAAAGTCCCCCTGACCCTTCGGTATATATGCTTCTGATAAATTATTTCTCTCATAAGGCACTGCCACAGGTGCTACATCATACCAATAAGTGTGTAACTGAGCCACCGATTCTCCCAGAGTCTCCAACCCGTATTTGTTCTTGAAGACTTGATCCACATCCATGCAGAAGAGGAAGTCAACTTCATACTGGATGTGACTGACGATATGCTCACTGATTGTTTTCATCCGCATCATGCTGATATCCTGCCATCTTCTCTCTCGTTTAATTTCAAAAACTTTGAATGTCCGAAGGCGACCCAGAGGTACCCAAGATACCTTAGAGAAGTCATCTACCATGATATAAATGATGACTTTCTGGCCAACCATAAAATACTTATCAGCAGATAACAAAAATGGTTGCAAGTAGAACTCAAGATAGCTGTGAAATAAATAAAAAGTGATTAGGTGGGTCTCTGTGAGTTTTAGTGAGATACATACTATTTTTTAAATATTTTTAAAAGGATTATTAATTTAATTTGTATTTATTACTCTTTTTCAATTTGACCAAGAGAGAGACAGAGACACACACACACACACAGAAAGCAAGGCACTAGGTCTGGGACTTGAGTTGCGGTCGACCATGTGGGAGTCCAGTGCCTTAACTACCACACCACTGCTGAGTGCAGCTTACCCTACTGTACTTACTACTAAGCACTGAATATAGATATGCCTCTTAGGTTGCATTTAAGTACTATGGAAGAAAGCAGAAGTATCTACCTCTTCTCTCCCTGGCAGTTTCACGGATCAGAGAGTAGAAGAGAAGTTCTTCATTAAAGAAGATGAGAAACTTGGTACGATCAGAAAACAGCAGAGCCCAGATCAAAAGGAGAGCCAGAATTTTCGGGGTTATCAGAGCAATGGGACTTTGGGTTTGAGGTTGTAGTTGGGAAAGGTCATTGCAGGAAGAAGTTACCATTTAGCTTGCCTTCTAGTCGTCAGGCATCACACAAAATCAGAGGTGGCAGAGTCAGTATCCACTGTCTGCGTATTATTATTATTATTATTATTATTATTATTATTATTTTACCTTGTGGCCCTTACCATACTGCTAGAACAGCTGGACTGGAAAACAGTATGTTTTCATTTTGGGTCTCTTAAGATTCACAGAGTTATATGTGGCCTTGAGTAATTTCAGAGAAGAAAAGGTAATCATATGTGGCACAGCTACAAATACTGTTCGTATGAGGAGCCTTCAAAAAGTTCATGAGCATGCACGTTATGGAAACATGTATACATTTCAAAAATTTTTTGTGTCAAAATAAACTTGGACTTTAATTTCACTTTTCAACTACTTTTTTGAAGTACCCTCACATAGTCCTTAAAAATAAATGCTAAATATTGACCTAACTTTTAAGAAATGTAGCAGACTAGAAGTCAGGAGGAAACTCTCTAGTTTAGAAGGCTAAAATTATTAGACAAATTATGGAAAATATCACTTACTATAATTTACTGAGCTGGAAGCTAGCAACTCAAATCCAAGGAAGTTCAATATAGCCACATTTTTTTATGGTTAGTGCTTTTGTGTCGTGTTCAGAAATCTCTGCCTCCTTAAGGGAGTGACAATATTCTACATTTTCTTCTAGTAGATTTATCATTTTATCTTTCCCATTGAGGTCTATTATCCATTGGAATTAATTCTTTTGTATGTTGTGATATAGAGTGTATTGAATTTTTTTTGATTTTATAAAAACCTTTCTACTTTAGAATAATCTTCAATTTACAGAAAATTTTCAAATATATGTTAGCAAGCTCCCATATACACTTTAACAGCAATATCTTATGTAACCATTGTATACTTGTAAAAACCAGGAATTTATTAGTGGTAACTTACTATTAACTAAACTACAGATTTTATTTAGATTTCACTGGCTCTCTCCAATGACCATTTTAGTTTTCAGGATCTAACCCAGGACACATAGTGCATTTAATTACAATGTGCCCAGCATGTTTTCCAAGTTGCCAGGTCTCAGACTTGAATTTCAGTTGCCCATGTGGGATCCAGCAACTTTAATCACCATATTTCTGGCTGGCCCTTATTGATTCTATTTTTTAAGTTAATTAATTTTAGGGGACCAGCAGATAGTATAGTGGTTACATCGCTGGGCTCCCATGTGGCCAACCATGGTTTCGAGTCCTGGACCCAGTGGCTTGAAAAGCATGCCGGACATATGTGCGTGCATGCCCAAGACCCTGGGAAGAGAATAGAGGAGAAGGGATTGCAGCACAACCATCTCCCTGAGAGGTGATTTCTCACTTTCCCTCTCACTGCTTCTCTCTCTGGTGAGCACACATCCCCTAAGGCAAAAACCTCTAAAAAAGTAATAATTAATTTTATAATTTATTAACATTTAATTATTGTAAGTCTTTGTGGAGTACAATATGATTTTCAAAGCATGACGAATGTGTTAATTAAATCAAGGATATTCTCATATTCATCATCTTAAACAAAGGACATTATGTGTTTTTTTATTATATGTTTCACTTAACTCCACTGTAATCTTTCTTTTTATTTTTTTTAATACCAGAGGTGCATGCCTGTTAGAAAGAGAGAAAGCATCTCCACAATGGGCCCTGGTCATGCAGAATTTCCCTTTCCTCTATTTCTCCTTCCCCTCAGGATTCTGGGCATGCATGAACATGCGCCTGGAGTAGCAGCTGCCAGGGCTAGGATGTGAACTGCAGACAGCCATGTAGGATCTGTCTCCCACAATATAGCACTTAACCACTGTACCATGGGGTTGGCCATTATTTATCTCTGCTCTTAGCTTTATTGCTTCCTTTTCTCCTGCTTGCTGTAGGTTTACTTTGCTCTTCTTTATGTAAAGTAGAAAGTTTGGTTATTGATGAGATCTTTATTCTTTTTTTTCCTTTTATTCACAAGAGAGTATGTACACATGAGAGAGAGATGAAAATCCTCTGTAGGATCTAATCATACTTCTAACCACTATTGCCTTCTTCCAAGTTCTACAGCCTGCCAGATCTGGACACTTGAGCACATGTCTGGCATGTTTCAGGCTGACCAGGCTGGGAATTTGAGCTGTGATTTTCCTGTGGGATCTGGTGTTCCTTAAGCATACATCACCAGTGGCCAATGGAACCGACCCCTTTATTCTTTTCAGTGTAGGTACTTACAGCTATAAATTCCCCTCTCAACACTTCTTTTGCTGCATACATGTTGGCAATCAGTTTTGGCCCAGGATTCAAACCATAGTTGGCCAGGTGGGATCCAGCTTCCTTTGCACAGCGCTTAACTGCTGCACCATGGCACCAGCCTAGCGATTGTGATTTGGCAATCAAAACCATGTAATGGTTTTGTTCATCTCAAACTGTTTTCTGATTTTTCTTATGATATATTCTTTACCCCACTAGGTGTTAGAGAATATGCTTAATTTCCAAATATTTGAGAACTTTCCAAATTTTTCTTTGTAATTGATTTTTTAAGGTTACTTTATTTGGATTTTTAATTCATGATAGTGCTTACATGTGAGAGAGAGAATAAAAAAAATCTCCCCCTCCCCCCAATTGGGACTGTTTATGCTGTAGTTAATTTTAAATTTCATTCCATTGTAGTCATAGAAGAAACTTGGTGTCCTTTCAACTTTTAAAACTTTAGTAAGTGGGCCAGCAGGTGGTGAAGTAGTTAAGGCACTGGACTCCCACGTGGCTGGCCGACCACAGTTGGAGTCTAGGACCCTGCTGCTTGAAACTGATGCCGGGTTAGTGTGTATGCACGTTCAAAATCCCAGGATGAGAATGGAGGAGAAGGGATTACAGGTGGCCATCTCCCCGGGGGTGATTTTTCATTTTCCCTCTCACTGTCTCTCACCAGCAAGCACATGCACTCTATAGCAAATACCCTGACAAAATATTTTCAGTAAGACTTTTGTGTCCTAAAATATGGTCAATTCTATAGAATGTTTCACATGCACTTGAGAAGAATGTATATTGAGGGAGTTGAGTGTTTTGAGTGGATTGTCCTCCATGTGTTCGTTATAGCACTGAATACATATGTTAGGAAGGAACTGTGTGAAGGACCAAAAGGAGTAGCTCTGCTAAAACATGACATTCTTAAAAGTCAGATGACCTTGGTCAAGGAGAAATGCTATGAGTAGGTGTAACTCTGCTCAGCAACACCACTAGCGAGGATTGGGATACCTAAGTGGATATAATTATGGTCTATCTATGCCATTATATTTCACCACCCCAGGTAAAGCGTCATTGGTTGAAGTTCTCCAGGGTTCTTCAACTTAGTTTGAACATTCAGTGCATCCTTGGAGGTTTGTAGATATATATATATATATATACACATTTATATACATGTATATACACATATGTATATGTGTGTATATGTGTATATATATATGTGTGTGTGTGTGTATCCTATTTGATGTGTTCTTCAAAATTTCATCCAAAATTTACATTTGGCAAATAATATTCAAAATTAAATGTTTGATTTGAAATATTTCCCAGTTTCACTGGAAATAAAACTATTTTTTAATCCATATTTGTTGTTTTCATAGGGTTTCAGAATTCAGGAGGTCAATGTGTAATGGTTGTATTAATCCATCTTTAAATGTAAGTTTTTCATTGTAAGTTTTTTAGGAGTCTACCTTAATGGTTCTGATTTTCTATTTCATTAGTAATTAAGAATTGGCTTTTCTTTCAAGATTACTGGATGATTTCATGCATTCTTTTTATGTTTTTTGCGTTATAAATGGTTGCCAGAAAATATAGCATCAAAATTCTACTAGTAGGCTGGCCACAAGGTACAGCAGTTGAGCACTGTAAAGAGGAAGCCAGATCCCACATGGCCAACCATGGTTTGAATCCTGGACCAGTGGCAACATACCATCCACATATGTACTAGTGCCAAGGGCCCTGACAGGGTGGAGAAATGGAAGAAAAAGTATTGCACCATGACCAGGCCCCACTGGGGGTGTTTTTTCTTTCTTTTCTTCTTTCTTTTTTTCTTCTTTTTTTTTTGGAGAGATTTTTGCTATAGGGCACGTGCGCTCGCCAGACAGACAGAGAGAGACATAGAGACAGAAAGCGAGAAGTCACCTCCCAGAGGGCATGGCCACGCCACAATCCCTTCTCCTCCATTCTCCTCTTGGGATCTTGGGCACGCACGCACATGCGCCCGGCGTGAGTTTTGAGCCACCAGGTCCAGGATGTGAACCGCGATCGACTACATGGGAGTCCAGCGACATAGCCATTACGCTAACTGCTGGTTCCCTTTTCTTTTATTCTTTTCCTTTCTCTTCCGTTTGCGTGTGTGGCCTTCTAGCACTAATTTTTTTTATTATTATTATTAGATAATTACAGTCATCAGGACCAGCAGTTGGCATAATGGCTATGTCGCTGGACTCCCATCTAGTCGACTGCAGTTGGAGTCCTGGACCTGATGGCTTAAACTCACACTGAGTGCATGTGCGTGCGCACCCAAGATCCTGAGAGGAGAATGGAGGAGAAAGGATTGCAGCATGGCCATCCCCCTGGGGGCTGATTTCTTGCTTTCTGTCTCTGTCTTTGAGCACATGTGCACATGTGCTCTAAAGCAAAAACCTCTAAAAAAAAAAAAAAAAAGATAATTACAGTTACCTTGTTTTGTTGTATATATTTTTTTTCTTTTTTCTTTTTTTTTTAAGTTTTTGAGTGGTTTTTGCTATCAGGTGCGTGCGTTTGCCGGACAGACAGAGACAGAGAGATAGAAAGTGAGAAATCACCCCCCAGGGGGGGTGGCCACGCCCTAATCCCTTCTCCTCCATTCTCCTCTCAGGATTTTGGGCACGCACGCACATGACATGCGCCCGGCGTGAGTTTAAGCCACCAGGTCCGGGACTCGAACCACCCATGGCTGACTACGTGGGAGTCCAGCGACATAGCTATTACTCTAACTGCTGGTCCCTTGTTTTGTTGTATATTGAACCAATGTTCCTGGGAGGGGCCAATCAGCACAATAAAGTAAGTTAATCTGGGGACCAGCAGGTGGCATGATGATTAAGGACACTGGACTCCCACCTGGCTGACCATGATTCAAGTCCCAGACCTGGCAGCTTGCTTTCTCACTTTCTCTCTCTCTCTCTCTCTCTCACTCTGTCTCTTTCTGGTAAAATTAAACTAAATAAATAAAGTTAAATAAAATAATTCTTTAGAAGAAAAAAGCAAAGTAAGTTCATCTGAAAGTAATTTATGATTTGGGAAAAAGATGGGAAATAGCAAAATACTGGGTTGAGCCCAGTGTAAAGGCACTAAAGAATGGCTGGATCATTCTCCTTCCTTCTTGTGAAGGAAGAGAGAGTATTTAAAACCGTGGACTGGCCTCATAGCATGATGGTTAAGGGAGCTGGATTCTGCATGGCCAACTGTGGTTTGAATCCTGGCCCAATGCTTAAAAAACACTCTGAGAAGGTATACATGTGTGCCTGAAATCCTGCCAGGATGGAGAAGTGGCTATGGAACAGTGGTTTGACTGTGTCCCATTAGCATGTATTTAAAATATAGTTTAGATGGGGTCAGCAGGTGGCATGGTGGTTAAGGTGCTGGACACCCACATGGCTGACTACAGTTTGAGTCCTAGACCTGGCGACTTGCTTTTCTACTTTCTCTCTTTCTCTGGTCAAATAATAACAATAATAAATAAAATTAAACAGTTCTTAGGATCAGCAGATAGCATAATGGTTACGTCATTGGACTCCCACATAGCCCAACACAGTTCCAGTCCAAGACACAGTGACTTGCTTTCTCTGTGTGTGTTTCTGTTTCTCTGGTTAATGTACATGCCCTTTGGCAACAGGGAAAAAAAAAAAAAGTAAAAGATTGGTAAGTTTTAGGAAGTGAAGTTAACATTGGTAGAGAACTTAAAATCAGATAATAGAAAATAAACCGAGGGATTAGAATGTTTTTTAAGTGGACCAAATAGGTAATAGTATTTAGAATTATGGCAGGAATTAACCTAGGAATATAATTATTAAGTGGAATTTATGAGGGACTTCATTAAATTTTCTCCCATTTTCTATAACAACAACAACAAAAGATATTTAATGTCATTACCTACCTTCCCACAGCAAACACAGTCAACCCCACAGTGATATTATGATTTTCATAATAGTTTTCCAAGACTGTCTCATCGTACGTGCCATGCCACACAACTGGAGCTGCCCATGTCGTAACAGACAAATTGGAGCGTACACTGTAAGAAGGACATGGCATTTTTGAACAAAATAAATTGTAATAAACAGACATTTGTGACTCACAAAGCTTATGTCTGATTGCAGCATCCCTTTACATCTAATCCAAAGCTTTGATTGTTATGATAAACAACAAAAACTGTGTATCTGAAATGGCCAGATCACTCCAAAAGTACACTTACAGGTTAGTTATATTTGACTCCAAGATCTTTGAGGACACATAGTTAAAATGTCTCCCATCATCTAATATATTTTGAAGGCCATATTTTTTAAAAAGAAACTTTCTAGTTTTTATCATCTGAAATTTTACTAGTGCTCACATTGCTGTATACTGTAGGAATCAACTTTGTCAGAACTCTAGAAAATGGTCAGAGCAACTGAGTACAAGTTAAACCTTTTATACTTTCAAAAACTTGTACAACAAAGTATAATCTAAAAAGATGACTTATCACGACCAGCAGATGGCATAATGGTTACATAGCTGGATTCCCACATAGTCAATCACGGTTCGAGTCCCAGACCCAGTGGCTTAAAACTCCCGACGGGCGCGTGTGTGTGTGTGTGTGTGTGTGCATAACATCCCAAGAGGAGAATGGAGGAGAAGGAATTGCAGTGTGGCCAACCCCCCGGGGGGTGATTTCTCACTTTCTCTCTGTCTTTCTCTGTTTTTGCATAGTTGCCCATTAGTAAAAAAAAAAAAATCCCTCTCTCTAAAAAAAAAAAAAAAAAGAGTGACTCATCATTGTAGGAATAATAAAGCTTTGTGGTAATTTTAACTTAGCTTGCCCTAACTCCCAGTATGGCAGTAGTATTGAAGACAGCAAACCATGTTCCAAGCATGGGGATATCTAGTTCTGGAGAGAGCAGAATGGACCTTATTTCCAAAGAATTGGGTTTGTCTGATCTGACCTGTCTGGGAGAGGGGTGGTCCCTGAAGGACTGACAAAAACACTTTATTTTCACTAACTCAGCTCACTCTCAGAGTGAAAAAGTGACCAAGCATGGGATGCTCTTTAAAAACATTTTAAAAAGAAACAAGTCTCTACCATCTTGCAAAAGATTATAAATGGAGAAAACACTAGAGATACTGAAAGCTAGAAGAAACACTAGAAAAGACACTTTGGAAAATAAGGGCTTTGACAAGCTCTGTGTATAACAGAGAATTTAGAAGTGCTTATACATGGGGACTGGCAGGTGACCGGGTGGTCATGGGTGCTGGACACCCACATGGTCGACCATAGTTCAAGTCTCTGATCTGGCAGCTTGCTTTCCCACTTCCCCTCTCTCTTTCTCTCACACTCTGTTCCTCTCTGGTCAAATATTAATTAATTAATTAATTAATTAATTAAAAAATAATTAGAAAATAATTAGAAAAGAAAGAAAGAAATGCATACACCAGTTCAGGTCAGGAGAAATGCTCAGAAAAATAAAATCTGAGAAAAGACCCTAAGTTTTCATGTCTGGGTGATATTTAGGCTCAGTGCAAGCAGGAAGTGAAGGCAAAGGCAGAGTTGTAGATAGCTGAGCTGAGCATTAAGGAAGGATCTTAACATAAAGCCAGTCTACAAAGACTGGGAGAGTTTTTCTCCTCCTCCTCCTCCTCCTTCTTCTTTCCTTTCGTCTTTCTTCCTTCCTTCCTCCCTCCCCCCCTCCCTCCCTTCTTTCTTCCTCCCTCCCTCTTCTGTCTGTCTGTCTGTCTCTCTCTCTCTCTCTCTTTTCTTCTTGTTCTCCTTTTCTTCCTTTCCCTTTCTTTCTCTCTCTCTCTCTCTCTCTCCACCTCATCATCTCCTACCCTCACTCATTTAATGAAACCTCTGTCAAACCATCAGCAGAGCACAAGCTAAAAGAGATCTCAGAGTCCAAAAAAGATAAAGAATATACTATTTTTTAAAAATATCTCTCTCTCTCTCTCTCTTTTCTTCTTGTTCTCCTTTTCTTCCTTTCCCTTTCTTTCTCTCTCTCTCTCTCTCTCTCCACCTCATCATCTCCTACCCTCACTCATTTAATGAAACCTCTGTCAAACCATCAGCAGAGCACAAGCTAAAAGAGATCTCAGAGTCCAAAAAAGATAAAGAATATACTATTTTTTAAAAATAGGTTAGATGGCACCAGCAGGTAGTATGGTGGTTAAGGTGCTGGATTCCACCATGGTTTGAGTCTTGAACCTGGTGTCTTGCTTTCTCACTTTTCCTCACTCTCTATGGTCAAATTAAAACAAAACAAAACAAAACAAAACAAACTGTTCTTGGGGCCAGCGGATGGCATAGTGGTTACATTGCTGGACTTTCGACCACAGTTTGAGTCCCAGACCCAGTGACTTCAAAATCATGCCAGGCACATGTGCATGCATGCCCAAGATCCTGGGAAGAGAATGGAAGGAAAGGGATTGCAGCATGGCCATCCCCCTGGCGGTGTGTGTGATTTCTCACTTTACCTCTCATTGTCTCTGTGTCTCTCTCCAGCAAGCACACATACTCTAAGTCAGAAACTACTAAAATAAGAAAAAAATTAAACAATTCTTAGAAAACAATAGTTTAGAAGAGGATCCAGCCTATAGGCTTGTAGTTAAGGGAATTGGACCCCACATGGCCAACTGCATTGTTTGAGTCCTGGATTCAGCAGCTTAAAAAACATGCTGGATGAATGTGTGTGTGCCCAAAATCTAGAAAGAAGGGAAAATGGAAGAGAAAAGATTGCAATGTGATCATTCCCTGTAGGGGATGATGTCTCTCTTTCTCTTCCTCTCTCTCCTGGTGGTTAAGGGCGCTGGACTCCCACATGGCCAACTGTGGTTCGAGTCCTGGACCTGGCAGCTTGCTTTCTCACTCTCTCTTTCACTCTCTCTCTCTGGTCAAATTAAAATAAATAAATAAAAAGTTAAATAAAATAATTCTTTTAAAAAAGAAATAATTGGGGACGAGCAGTTAGCGTAATGGCTATGTCACTGAACTCCCATGTAGCCAACCACGGTTCTAGTCCCAGTCCTGGTGGCTTAAACTCACACCAGGCATGTGTACTTGTGTGCCCAAGATCCCAAGAGGAGAATGGAGGAGAAGGGATTGCAGCATGGCCATCCCCCTGGGGAGTGATTTCTCGCTGTCTCTCTGTCTCTGTCTTTCTGGCGAGCGCACACGCCCTATAGCAAAAAATTACCTCTCAAAAAAGAAAAAAAAAAAAAAAGAAAAGAAATAATTGGTGTGTCTCCTATGTGCTAATTAGAGTGTTGCAATGTATGAGCAGATGAGTCATGTACCATATTACCCAGTCATGATCTTAACCTGGTGGTCTCCTTTCTAAATTATTCTTAATTATTCTTTTTTTTTCAATGATTGTTTGTTTCTTCCATGAGTGAAAGAGAGAGAGAGAGAGAAGCCCCAGGACCTTATCATCATGACCCCCAAACCCCCCTGCTTCAGCTGCCCCAGATCATGGGTATATGTGTGTCCAGCATACTCAAGGAGGTCTCCAGATGTGAACCTGGCCCCTTCCCATGGAATTCATCCTCATAGAACATCACACTTTACCACTGCACCACTGTCCAACCCCGTGCTTTCAAAATTTTACTTAGGGAAATTTTTTTTGAGAGATATTTTTGCTGTAGGGTACATGTGCTTGCCGGAGCGACAGAGAGACAGAAAGGAAGCAACCACCCAAGGGGAATGGTCACATTGCGTTCCCTTCTCCTCCAGTCTCTTGGGATTTGGGACACTCATGGACACACACCCAGAATGACTTAAAAGCTTCTGGATCTGGGACTCACACTGCAGTCAACTACATGAACATCCAGTGTCTTAACCACTATGTCACCAACTGGCCCCAATTAGGGAAATTCTTTAAAGCCTGTAGCATCAGAGTGAAAGATGGGTGGTCAGAGTGTAAAGATGGAAGCAGAGAGCAAGAAGGCTGCAGGATTAATGCATGAAGGCACGGACAGCCCACCTGTCCGGTTTGGGCTTGGGCTTTCTCATGAGTGAAGAGAGGAGAGTCAATCGAATGATCTCAGACCCACCCTCACACTTTGCCCTACCACCACTCTAGAACCTTTGAGTTATGTAAACTCTCACTAGTGCAGAATACGGGCCCAAGTGTCCAGCCCTCATGGCTTCTTGACATCTTGGCCCAAGGACAACTTGGCCACTGCTTATTTTTAAAAATGTGGTATTCTGGGGACCAGAAGATGGCCTAATGGTTATGACTCTGGATTTCCATGTAGTCAACTGTGGTTCAAGTCCCAGACCTGGTGGCTTAAACTCATGCCAGGCGTGTGAGCATGCCTGCCCAAAATCCCGAGAGGAGACTGAAGGAGAAGGGATTGAAGCGTGGCCATCTACCCAGGACGTGATCTTTTGCTTTCTGTCTCTTTGTCTCTCCGGCAAGCTCACGTGCCCTATAGAAAAACTTCTAAAAAAAAATGTAATAAAAAATGCATCTGCTCTTCAGTATTTGGATGCCAGTAGTAGTGTTGCCATCTATTAACATTTGTGGCTTAATCTCACACTTGCAAGGTTGGGTTCTTACATGGGATGAAACCAGTCTGAGAGCTGTAATTTGTCATTTCTCACCATCCTGAAAGGAAAAATAATGCAGAGTCATACTGTATCTACTAGAGGTTGAGATAATTGAATATCTATCAAATCACGGGCATGTTATAACAAGACGCAAACTTCAAAAAAAGAGTGAAATTGGGCCAGCTGGTGGTGTGGTTAAGGTGGCTAGATCCCACGTGGCTGACTGTGTGGCCAGAGTCCTGGAACCAGAGGCTTGAAAGGCATGCCAGGTACATGTGCACACATGCCCCAAATCCCTTTTATTTCCTGGTCCAGAACCACACAGCGAGACCAGTAATGTAGCCCAAGTCCTTCCTTTTTTTCTTTGCCATACATTCCGATGGAACCCTCACTGTCAGGCCAGGACACCTTTGCGGAGCCGATCCTGGGCTGTGCTAGTGTAGATGGGCAGCTGTGGAGCTCAGCTATATGTCGTCTTCGTCTCTTTGCACATGGGTAGGAGTAACCACCATATCGGGTGTATGTGGCATTCGTTCGAGCACCTGCCATTCTGACCTTCCATTGACAGTTGGCCTTTGGATGATGATACTTTGGGGTCGTCAGAAAAGTCATGATGTGTTTTTTTTATGCAAAAATGCATCGTGACTTTTTCGGTGACCCAATAGTATGTTGAATCTGCAGAACCATGAGGTTAAGGAGAACCAATAGTAATTACAGGCCTGTTTTTAGAGTACCTTAAATGCATTTGCTAGAAAACATTTTAATGAATTCCTCCTCCCAGCCTCTATTGCAGCTTGGAATGCTCCCCTCTTTCTCTAGGGATGTTCCCATTGTTTGCAGGCAGTCGAAGGTTACTGTCCTGTTGGCCATGGCTATATCTAGTGGAAATATGCTTTCTTAATATATCATATTTTTTATTTTTAGTGTTTTTAGTTTTTTAGTTTTTGTTTTTGTTTGCTATAGGGAGCATGCTTTCAATGAAGAGAGGCAGATGGGGGAAAGTGAGAAATTACTCCCCAGGGTAGACAACCACCCTACAGTACCTTCACCTTCTTCCTCCTCTTGGGATTTTTGGGCAAATGTGCACACTCACCTAGTGTGCTTCTCAGACCACAGACCTAGGGCTTTAACTGCACAGTCAGCCATGTCAGATATAGTGCCCCCAAAACCACATCACCTACTGATCTATCTCTATCTCTATCTTTTACATATTATAAATATTGGGTTTTTGCCATAGTATGTGTGCACTCACCAGACAGAGACAGAAAGAGACAGAAAGAGAGAAGTCACCCCTCACCTGGGATAATGGCCACACCGCAACCCCTTCTCCTCCATACTCTTATCAGAATTTTGGGCATGTATGCACACTCACTCAGCATGATTTTCAAGACACCAGGACCAGGACTCGAACCAAAGTTGGCCGTGTTAGAATCCAATGCCTTAACCACCATGCCACCTACCAGCCCTTATAATATACCATCTTAGTACGTGGTACAGCTCACCCAGGTATCTGGTTATGGTGTTAGTGGGATGGTATAAGTCTCAGAATCAAAGTGAGACAAGGCCCCTAGATGCTACAAGCATCAGGAGGAAATTTGCTCTTCACTATGTAGGTTCCTTTGACTAGAGTACAGAATTTGAAGACATATTCCAATATTGGATCTTACACCATCTTTGGGCAAGCTTTCCTTTCTGATGGTGTGATCTTACAGGTGGGTGTGTTTAGTTCAATCTCCTGAGGGTCTTTCCAATTCTTTACTTATGTGTGTTTTCCTAGAGCTTTAAAAGATCCAAAGATCTGGGACCAGCAGTTGGCATAATGGCTATGTGGCTGGACTCCCATGTAGTTGACTGTGGTTCGAGTCCCGGACCTGGTGACTTAAACTCACACCAGGCATGTGTGTGTGTGCATATGTGACCAAGATCCCAAGAAAAGAATGGAGGAGAAGGGATTGCAGTGTAGCCATCTCCCCTGGGGGGTGATTTCTTGCTTTTTGTCTCTCTGACTCTCTCTGTCTTTCTGGCGAGCACGCATGTCCTATAGACAAAACCTCTCTCAAAAAAAGAAAAGAAAAGAAAAGATACAAAGATCTGAGGCCAACAGGTGGCAAGAAGGTTAAGATGCTGGATCCTACGTGGTTGACTGAGCGATGTGAGTGTTAGGCCCAGTGCCTTGAAAAACACGCTGGGCCCATGTGCATGTGTGCCCAAAGTCCCGAGAGGAGAAAAGAGAAGTGATTGCAGTGTGCCATCCTCTCCCGGTAGGGGTGAGGGGATGATTTTCCACTTTTCCTCTCTCTGTCTCTGTCCCACGAGTGCACATGCCCTATAGCAAAAACTAAAAAGAAAAAGAAACATAAGTAAGTAAATAGATAAAAGATGCAAGGCTACTGGGGCCTGAGTTCTGGCTCCTGTAATGTGTTCCCTTAACCAGTTCCCACCCCTGTACCAGAGACAGCACTCTGCCAGTCTGCTCTTTCTTTGGTTCCTGGCATTCTGAACTTAAGAGAATTATCTTCGACATGTGTTTGTAAAATTGCTTGCTTGGATTTACCCTGCCAGCAGGAGCTGAGGACCACAGGTACTTCATGGCCATCCAACCAGTTTTGTCCTCAGAAAGGGAGCTCAAAGCTTATTTGTAAATGAAGACTTAACTGGGTCAGCAGATGACGTGGTGGTTAAAGGTAATTCCCACGTGACCGACCGTGGTTCGACTCCCAGACATGGTGGCTTGCTTTCTCACTTTCCCCTTCTCCTTCTCTCTCTGGTCAAATTTAAAAAATAATAATAACAAGTGGAATTAAATAAATAAATCTTTAAAAATAATGAGGACTTACCAGCAATGATGCATCCTCTGCAGTATCTTTGTGCTTAGGATGAATGAAAAGTAGTATATTACTTTTAAAGGTATATAGTTTCCACATATAATTAGGGCTAGAATCCATCAGTCTATTTTTATTAACTAATATTACCAAGCACTTCGTGAACACATATGCTGATTATAGAAACAAGTATTGAATATGATTTTTTAAAAATTAAAAGAAAAACTCTATAATTAAGATTCTTATATGCTCTATCTTAAAAAACAGCATCCACTACTGAACTCTTTGAGACACAGATAAGAGAAGCTTAATATCTTTGAATAATGAAACTTAATAATTGCCAACGAAGTCATTCTACTTGTCTCAAAAGTAGAAGGGGCAAAGGCCCTACTTGCAAAGGGCAAATACCATATATAGTGCCAGAAGTCGCCAACATTGGTGATGTTTCTTCAAAGAAGAGGTCACCGATGGGGCCAGCAGATGGCATAACGGTTACATCACTAGACTCCTACATAGCCGACCACAGTTTGAGTCTCAGACCCGGTAACTTCCAACTCACACAGGCTCATGTGCATGTGTACCCAAGGTCCTGGGAGCAGAGTGGAGGAGAAGGGATTGTGGTGTGGTCATTCCCTCTGGTGAGTGAGTTCTCACTTTCCTTCTCTCATCTCTGTCTCTCTTACTCTCCTGCAAGCACACACACTAAGGCAAAAAGACCTCTATTTTTTAAAAAAATGAAAAAAAAAAACCAAGATGCCACCCAGGCCAGCAGGTGGTGTGATGGTTAAAGGCACTAGATTCCCTTTTGATAAACCACAGTTCGAGTCCAAGACCTGGCAGGTTGTTTTCTCATTTTCTTTTTATCTCTTTCTCATGAGCAAACATACCCTATAACAAATTAAATAATAATAAATCAAATTAAATAATTCTTTTTGTAAAAAAAAGGTGATGCTACCTATTTTCAAAATTTTTCATAGCATTTACTAACATTATGTTGCCACAGTCACCGGCAGCTTAACTTAGTTACTGCCTCTTCTCACCATATGGGCCTACAAAAATTTGTTGTAGCTTTGCTCTCATTAGAATCAAAAGATTTGGATGCTGAAAGTTATATTTATGCTGATTTATTTGGGTAAGATTTGGGTTACGTATTTGGATGTTGACTAATTCAGGAGTGGGTTTTCCACATTTTTAACATCAGATCCTTAACCAAGCATCAGAATGAAATATCCACTGGCTTTATATAGTTACCTGAAATAATACTTCCTATGCAAGGCCCATAAAGACAGTAAAATCAGTAACAATAGAATTATTTTTCTTTTGTATTTCATTCTTTCCTGGGAGAAAAAGAAACAGATGAAAGTAGGTTAAATAAAGTGGATGGTGTAGGTCTCGCCCCTTAGTGTCATGGTTAAGGGAGCCAGACCCCATGTGACAGACTGCAGTGCAAATCCCAGCCCTGGTAGCTTGAACGACACACTTGATGCATATGCATGAGTGCCCCATATCCTGAGAGGGTGGAGAAATTGAACAGAAGGGATTATAGCATGATCACACCCATTGCAGGGTGACCTCCCCTCCTCTCTGTGTCTGTCTGTCTCTCACACTCTCTGGTAACCACATACACATTCTGGTAATTAAAAAGAAAATAAAAATAAAATAGAGCATGCTGAGGTGAGCTCAGGGGAAGGGCAAAGCCTGGAATGCTGTGACTTAAACCAGGTGATTCAGTAAACATCAACTAGCAATTAGGACACACTGTGCCTTGGGTGTCTGTCTTTACGCAGTTAGAGCTGAGAAGCTAGTGGGCAGAACTGCAGTAGTGGCACGCTCCGTGATGCTGGGTCCATGTGGAAAAGCCCTGGATTTGTACCCTGAGGTCTCCTTGTACATTCCAAGTACATGCACACCAGTGATGCAGACTGGCTGAGACTGGAGTGGATTGTGACATGAGCGTCCTGTTGGGGATTCCTGTTTCTCTCTCTCTTCTCTCTCTCATAGGAGAAATAACTTGAAAATAAATAGAGTTGAGGTAGCCAGCAGGCGGCATGGTGGTTGGGGCACTGTACTCCCACGTGGCCGACTGTGATTCGAGTCTTGGACCTGGCAGCTTGCTTTCTCATTTTCCCCCTCTCTCTGTCTCTCTGGTGAGTACACATGCCCTATAGCAAATTAAATAGTAATAGTAATAATAAATCATTCTTAAGAAAAACTAAATAAAATAGTTGAGTCAGTGGAGGCACTTGGTTCTATTTGAGCTAGCTGCTCAGATAGACTTAGGGTATCAGTTGGTCTTAGTTGGCCTTGATGTGAGAGAGCTTTTTTTGTTTCTCTCCCACATACTGGGGAGAGACAGACAGTGAGAAGGAAAGTGAGAAGTCATTCTCCAGGAGGGAATGGCCACTCTGCAATCCCTTCTCCATTCTCTCCCGGTTCTTAAGTGGTCTGCAATCCCTTCTCCATTCTCTTCCTGGTTCTTAAGTGGGCACACACATGTGCCAGGCGTGATTTTCAAGCCACCAGGTCCAGGACTTCAAACCTCAGTTGGCCATGTGGGAATCCAGAGTTGTAACCACTGCACCATTTGCTGGTCCCAGTGTAAGAGATCTCATGACCCTTCACTTGTCTTTTGTAAATTACAGAGGTCTTCACTTACAGACAAGAAATGTATGGAAATAGCAGATGGCATAATGGTTACATCGTTGGATTCCCACATAGCTGACCATGGTTCAAGTCCCAGACCCGGCGGCCTAAAACTCACACCTGGCAGTTGTGTGTGCGTGGCCAAAAGCCCAACAGGAAAATGGAGGAGAAGGGATTGTGGCATGGCCATCCCCACTGGGGGGTGACTTATTGCTTTCTGTCTCTATCT